AAATATAAGATACAATATAAATAATACATAATATATAATATATGAAATATAAAATACAAAATATAAAATATAATATAAATAATATATATAATATATAAAATATAAAAAGCAGAAAGTAGAAAATGTAATATAAATAATACATAATACATAAAATATAAAATACGAAATATAATATAAATAATATATAATATATAAAATATAAAATATAAAATATAGAAAATGGAAAATATAAAATATAATATAAATAATATATAGTATATAAAATATAAAAAATACAAAATATGAAATATAATATTAATAATATATAGTATACAAAATATATAAAATGCAAAATATAAAATATAAATAATATATAATAATATTATAATATTATTATTTATGTTATAATATGATTGTTATAATATTATTATTTATGTTAATATTAATAATATATAGTATACAAAATATATAAAATGCAAAATATAAAATATAATATTATATAATATAATTATAATATTATTGTTATAATATGATTATTATAATATTATTATTTGTGTTATAATATTATTGTTACAATACTATCATTTATGTTATAATATTATTGTTATAATATTATTATTTATGATATTTTATATTATTATTTCATTGGGAAACCGTGGCAATACGTATGCTTATTCTAGTCGATCGCTCGAACCTGGGAATTCCGTCGACGTTCGAGCGATTTTTCCTCCGGGGATTACGTTTCTCGGCTGTCCGCGATTAGCGAGTGAGTCGCGAGGCGATAAAACCAGGATCGAAGGTGTAAAGCTTATTTTTCTCGGCGGGCAGGCGTGGACGATCGAAAGAGAGCGAGAGAGAGAGAGAGCTGAAAAACGAGAAACGGCGAGGCGCGCGGGTTTTTCGTTATACGACCGCGAGAAGCTCGTATCTCGCTGCAATAAATCTCGAAGATGAAGTCATTAAAGAAACGGCGAAGACTTATGCACGGCCGGCTCGCCTTGACAGTGAGCCGCGGCGCGGTTCATTAGCATCGGCCGCGGTCGAGTTCGGTCTCCCGACGATTTTCCGATCGGCTTGCGCACCGCGAATTAACATTTTTTTTTTCGACGCCCGGTGCCGCAGCACCGTTTCGAGCCGGAACAGGTTCCCATCTATTAACAAGCACCGCTGGAAAGTATGATGAATGATTTTCTTACGTTCGGCCGCCTGGAATCCGATGGAAATTATTGAGAAATCGTTGCCGACATGAAAAGCAACGAACAGTGAGCATAAATAAGAAAATGTACGAAAAAGTGACGCACAATTTTAAGGCTCGTCGAGAACTGCGCTGTATACAGGGTGTCCCGAAAATGTTTCGCATTTTAGATCGAGTCGTAAATAACTTTCATTTGTTTATCAGACGTTTATTTTGTTTTTCTTTTATTTAATCTTTCTTTGTTTTTCTATTTTATTTATTTCGAATTCTTATCGATTTAGTGAAAGCAAAAAGTCCTTTGTCCCAATGTTTTATAGTTGGTAAACACGAGTAATACATGGTGTCCCGAAAGTTACTCAAAATCAGGTATAAAGGGGTTCCTGAGGTCATTTGAAGCAACTTTTTCCTTTGCGAAAATATTCTACGAGGCTTCGTTTACGAGTTATTAGCGAAAAACACCGACCAATGAGAGACGAACGCGGCTGGTGCCAGCTGATCCTCGCCTCTCATTGGTCACGGTTTTTCGTTACTATCTCGTAAACGAAGCCTCGTGGAACATTTTCGCAAAGGAAAAAGTTGCTTCAAATGACTTCAGGAAACCCCCATTTCCGGATTGAAATATAAAATATAAAAATCAATAAAACTGCGATTCCTGTTACTTGCAAGTTATAAATTATTAATATTAAACATACAAAAATTATGACATTCATTTCCAGAAGATTACACACCACGAAATGTTAGATTTTATTACTTTTACAAAATACAGCAGTATTTGGGCCGACCGCAGTAATACCCACACTTACCATACACGGTGCTCCAAAACTGTGATACTTCCGGGAATTGAGCGATTTCTGATGGATTCCCGAGGTCATTCGAAGCAACTTTTTCCTCATCGAAATTACAATCTGCGGCTTCGTTTACGAATTATCGACGGAAAACAGCGACCAATGAGAGTCGAGCGCGGCCGCCGCGCGCCAGCCGAGCCGCGAAAATGCGATCAGCTGACGGAGAAACAGACGAACCAATCTCCGAACGGCTAAGCAGCGTCCAATTATATCACATCCGCCCCGAAGCCCTAATTTCTCCTGGCGCCTAATCACCGAACGAAGTTTACGTCCCGCAGCTTCCGCGGCGAGCGAAACGGTCCGTCGATGTAAATCAGCCGTCGCGACAAATAAACATCCGTAATAAAGACGCGCGGGCCACCGCGTTTACGGTGCGCGGAATCCGCGGCTCGTAAACCTCGTCTCGTAAATTCGCCGGCGGCGATGACGCCGCGTCTCGCGGCGAAGGTCGAGTTACTCGGCGCGGCGACCTGCCACCTCCCCTCCCCCACCCCGTGGGCCACCCGAGGATTCGATTTCGCGCGTCCTGTCACGCGACACCGGTGCGGTTGCGTAACAGGACGTCCACCTGCGGTCGCGTGGCCGCCCCGCGGAACGTCAACGTCCCGAACCGAAAAATCCCGATCGAATGTGCCTCTCGATTTCGCAGATCATCCACCGGGATCTCGCCGCGAGGAACGTCCTGGTCGACCACAACAAGCTCTGCAAGATCGCCGACTTCGGCATGTCCAGATTCGCGAACGAGAACGGGGAGGTGATCGAGACGAGGCACGGCAGGAACGCCCTGCCGATCAGGTGGATGGCACCGGAGTCGTTGATCTACTCGCTCTTCACGACCAAGACCGACGTATGGAGCTTCGGGATACTGATGTGGGAGATCGTCACTCTGGGTGAGCCTGATGAGGACTTTTAGGATACTTTTTAGGAGGGGATTAATGTTTGCAGCTGAAATGTTTAGGTTTATGTTTTTCGGCGGAAAAAGTAGTTACTATATTTAATCGGTTAGATTGTGCTTGACGAGTATACTCGACGTGGTTATGTCGAGGTTATTTCTAGGTTATGTCAAGTTTATTTGTACACTCGTTATGGAGAAGCGGCTGGATTTTGTGTCATGACGAGTATACTCGTCGCGCGTAAAAAGTAGTGGGCATTGACTGTTTGACTAGTTAATTGTATTTGACGAGTATACTCGTCATGGGGAAGCGACTGTATTTTGCGTCATGACGAGTATAGTCGTCATAGAGAAAAGGTAATACTTTGTGCCACGACGAGTATACTCGTCGTGCGTTAAAAGTAATGACCACTGGCTACTTCACCAGTTAACTGTGTTTGACGAAAATACTCGTCATGGTTATGCCAAGGTTATTTATCCACTCGTCACGAAGAAGAAGCAGTATTTCGTGTCATGACGAGTATACTCGTCGTGCGTAAAATGTAGTGGGCATTGACTATTTGACTAGTCAATTGTGTTTGACGAGTATACTCGTCATGGGGAAGCGACTGTATTTTGCGTCATGACGAGTATAGTCGTCATAGAGAAATGGTAATAGTTTGCTTCATGACGAGTATAGTCGTCATAGAGAAATGACAATATTTTGTGTCATGACGAGTATATTCGTCGTGCGTAAAAAGTAGTTACCATTGGCTATTTAACCAGCCAGCTGTGAATGACGAGTATATTCGTCATAGAAAAGTGGCAGTATTTTGTGCCATGACGAGTATGCTCGTCGTGCGAAAAAAGTCGATTGACTATTTAACCAATTAGTTGTGTTCGACGAGTATACTCGTCGTCAAGAAATGGTATTTTGTGGCATGACGAGTATACTCGTCATGGAAAAATGTTAGTATTTTGTGGCGTGACGAGCATACTCGTCGTGAAGAAGAGATATTTTGTGGCGTGACGAGTATATTCGACATGAAAAAATGGTGATATTTTATAGCATGACGAGTATACTCGTCATAGGAAAGTGGCAATATTTTGTGTCATGATGAGTGTACTCGTCATAGAGAAGTTGCAGTATTTTGTGTCACGGCGAGTATACTCGTCATAAAGAAATGTCAGTATTTTGGGTCACGACGAGTATACACGTTATGAAGAAGCACCAGTATTTTGTCTCACGACGAGTATACTCGTCGAGCGTGAAAAGTACCAACCATTGATTATATTCAACTAGTATATATTGTATACTATTCTATAATATATACTATACTATTATATACTATATAGTATATAATACTACTATATTCGACTCTATATTCGACGAGTATACTCGTCATGAAGAAGCGCCAGTATTTCGTGTCACGACGAGTACACTCGTCGCGCGGAAAAAATATCGACAAAATAAAAAAAAACCGTCTATCTAACCAGTTAGCTATGTTTATAAAATGAAACTGTCTTCTCGATCCAATATTTTAACATCAACACTCACTTTGTGTTTGACGAGTATTCTCGTCGTCGCTTGATTCTCGCATATAGACTAACTGTCTAATACAAAGAAATAAAAAATACAGTCTAATCTTTGCCATCGCAAACAGCGTCGTCCTTATCACACAAACCTTGTTTGCAAATAAAAATTGTCTGCGTCCGCAGGTTCGACACCGTATCCAGACATGACGGCCAGAGAAGTGATGCGTAACGTGCAGAACGGTTATCGGCTGGAGAGGCCCTCGCACTGCCGCAGCGAGTTGTTCAGGGTGATATCCCGATGCTGGCACGCCGATCCAGAACGCAGGCCGGAATTCCAGACGCTGAGGAGGGACCTGGCGCAGCTGCTCGAGGACAATCTGAACGGGCATTACGTCGATCTCGAGAGCTTCGCGTCCGAGTGCACCGACTGATGACGACCGGATCGCCGGACGTGGTCCGTGGATCGGTGGAAAAGGTCGGCTCGGTGGTCGCCCGGATAGTCGGTCGTCGAACTGTCCGCTTGAGCGGAAACGAGGCCCAGCCGAGCGAAGCTGTTGGACGATGTTTCGCCCTCTCAGAGATCGACTATCCGAGACCATTGCGAACGCGTTGTGTTCGAGCAGAGCTGCGGAAGAAAATTTCGAAATAGTAAATACAGTATGTGCTTCTCCCTGATTTATGAACGGATTGTGCAGAGAAATGGACAATTTTGGGAATTGACATGTTATGGTCAATTAGGGAGAATTCAATGTGGACTGCAAAAATATTCGTGTCTTTTCATGTAACACAGAGTTTGGCAGATTCATCGGGACGGACGAGTGGTTTGCTTGCATTTTAACAGATGATGGTTCAAAATGAATAAAATAAGAAAACAAGAAAAAAAAGAAATAAGTAGAAGAAAACAAAATAAATGTTCTGTAAGAAAACTGAAGTTATTTGTGACTCTCATCAGCTATTTGTAACTACGTATGGAAATGCGTGTATGTGTGTGGTATTTTTCAAATATATACATTAATATATATTATATATTATACATATATTAATATATATTGTATATATTATACATATATTAATATATATTGTATATTATACATATATTAATATTGTTATATATTGAATTTACATTAATATCCGCATGTAACTATCATTTCAGAAAAAGTTCATTTGCCAAATTCTGTATTACATGACAAGATAAAAATAATGACAGTCTAATTAGACTGTCGTTTAGGTATTATTCTGCGATGATGCAATCAGCCTCCGTCCATAGTTATGTTGTTCGTCCGTAAGCTGACAGTCCAGCGGAAGCACGTTCGTCGAACGCTGCCAATTTCTTGTATACACTTCGAGCGGCAGCTTCGCGGGTGACGATGCATTGTGTTCGAGATTCGGTTGTTTCGGTGCTCACGGAATCGACGGAAGATTCGAGACTATAATGCGGACACAGTAGCTGTCCGACGAATCTTGAGACCATTGTGACGATGACACCGAGAGGAGTGCAAGGACGACGGATATCGTTCACTGTTTTTCTCTTTTTTCATTTCGAGCAAGCCGAGAACGTGTTCGAGTATTCTGTCGCCGTAGTATTATTGTGCGTCCAGCGTTCCCAATTTTCAATGCGCCAGTCGTGTCTAAGGTTCGTCCGTGTCGGCGTTTCTCGTGCAACATCAGTATTTCTTTCATTGGTGTATAAACCATTCCCCGATTTTCTGCGATCTACCAAATTTCGAGCGCGTTTCTGTCGTTATAATAATAATAATAATAATTTTATTTGTCAATCAGATGTACTCTTTGTTATAATGAGAGAGAGAGAGAGAAGAGAGAGAGCAAAGAGAGAGTGAAAAAAAGCAAGAGAGAAAAGAGAGAGTGAGAAAAGTGAAAGAGAAAAAAGAGAGAACAGAGAGGGAGAGAGAAAAGAGTGAGAGAGAAAAGAGCGAGAGAGAAAAGACAGAGAGAAGAACGAGCGAGAAAAGAGAGAGAGGAAAGAGAGAGAGAAAAGAGCGAGAGAAAAGAGAGAGAGAGAGAAAAGAGCGAGAGAAAAAAGAGAGAGAGAAAAGAGCGAGAGAAAAGTGCGAGAAAGAGTAATAATATGTTAGCAAAAAAGTAAATTAAAAAGCAAAAAAGTTCTCGAAGTTTAAACAAAAATTTATCATTCGTTTTGCAACAGTGTTTTCGTTCCAATGAAAATTGCGTGCTCTCGGCGAGAAACGTCGATACACACGAATCAATTGTTCGTCGCGTACAGTGCTGCCAACTCTACCCTTCCGTAGGTCTGCGGAGTTTCAATCTTGTCCACGGATCAAATGACCCACGTCAATTCGCACCTCTAATTGGAGAAATTTGTTTTCGCGTCTATTCCCTTCGGATTCGCAAAATACATTCAATCTGGCAACATTGGTCACGCGGCGAGCAGCGATCAATCGGTATCATCGCGTCATTTGCCGTCCATACTGTATCTTAAACCGCGACGATTCTTCTTCGCCAGACCGCGGACCTTTATGCGAGTAAAAATCTCTGTTGTTTCGCGGCGATGCCGTTCAACGCGAGACGAGATGAAACCATTCGAAAATTGTTTCGACGGCGTTCGAACAAACGCGTAAAGATCCGCAGTCTAAAACTCATCACTGTACATATTTTTTCATTTGAACGGCGTATCGTGCCCATCGAAAAGCAATGAAAAAAAAGAACAAGATTAGGAGTACGATCGTCGCCGTGGAGGCCGGGCGAGTGAGTCAGATTTCGTCTCGCGGGAGTGGGGGTGGGTCACGTGACGCGCTGCGCTCCCACTCCGCCGCGCGGCAGCGAATCGGCGAGGTCCGCCGCGTCGCGTGACCCGTCCCCACTCCGTCGCGTCGCGCGACCCATCCCTACTCCGCCGCGCGGCCGCAAATCGGCGAGGTCCGCCGCGTCGCGTGACTCATCCCCACTCCTTCGACGCGAAATCCGGCCGAATCATCCGGCTGCCATGCTCGCCGCGCTCATCGTTTTATCGCCGTAACTGTATCGTCCAATAATATCTGTATTATTATGTAATCGTTTCTTACGCATTGTATAAGTTTGTAAGTTCTCGATCGTCGATTATATATTCTTAATCATTCTAGTCTCTCTCGATGCGTCTGGGGCGGCGATTGGCTTATATTTTACATTCAGCACAGCGATCGCGTTGCGAATTTATTATCTTCTGGATTGTGATATCTGCGTACTTTTATATTAACGTCGCGAGAGCTCCTCGGAGCCGATTCAAGCCCCACCATATTTTTTTTTCGTCGGTGTTTATCGCATTAAGTTTGTACTTTATATATATATATATAGTATATAGTATATATATATGTATATTATAGAGGTGTCGATACGTCTATTCGAGAACCCGACCTCGCTTCCGCATTGTCGAAGAGAAGCGGCCCGCCGTCGAATACATTCGACGCTGTCACGACGTTATTTTCTGCGTAAGCTTGCGAACCGAGCCTATTTACACGTATACATACACACATACATACACACACGTCCCTCCTCCACAAAAAAATGCAAGAATTACTCTAAATGTAAACTCAACTATTGTAAGAAGTTTTTCTTTGTCAGTAAACGTTGTCGTAAATCTTCAGCCGTTCTGATTTTAATTCTCGCGGCAACCTGTCGTCGTTCGATTGCGGGCGATTTCCATTAACGTCGTTCTTAATTCAGAACTAACTAGGACCTAACTCTGACCTAACTCAGACGTAATCTGAATTCGAAAATTATAAAATTAAGAATGTTGTGAGCATAAATCAGGATTGAGTTGGGTCTGGACGAGCGATCTTATTCAGACAGATATTGAAGACTTAATCCAGACCTAACTTGGGCCTAACTCTGTTCTAACTCAGACCTAATCTGGATTCGATAATTATAAAATTGAGAACGTTGTGAGCATAAATCAGGATTGAGTTGGGTTTGATCGAACGATCTTATTGAGACAAATATTGGAGACTTAATCCAGACCTAACTCGGACCTAACTCTTGACCTAACCTTAGACCTAGCGATGATTTGAAAATTATAAAATTGCAAACATTGTGAGCATAAATCAGGATTAAGTTGGGTCTGGATGAGCGATCTTTTTGAGAGAAATATTGGATACTTAATCCTGACCTAACTCAGACCTAACCTGGATTCAAAAATTATAAAATTGCGAACTTTGTGGGCATAAATCAGGATTAAGTTGGTTCTGAACGAGCGATCTTTCTGAAGCAAATATTGGAGACTCAGGCTTAACCCAGACCTAACTCGTACCTAACTCGGACCTAACTCTACCATTTTCTCCAATAACTCGAAATCCAAAGGAGTATCAAAATTTTACAAGAGGACAAAGTTGCTTAAAATCGCAGTTTTGACAATCTTCCAATAAGTTTCCGGACATTCCAGCATGTAACAATTACCAAATAAAACATATCCTGCAATTGTTTAAAAATAATTTCGAAAAAATTGAGCAAATGGCTCACGAATGTACAAACTACAGGTTTCAAAACTCGCCGAACTTCGCACAATTATTTTCAACGAAGAAAATAGTTTAAACAACGATATTATTTAATGAACAATAATCGTGAAAAAAATCGCTTCGCACATGGAGTCACATAGCTCGAAATCCTCGAAACGATCGGTATAAATTAATTTCTCGCGCATCCGTCTAATCTCGACGTTCCTTTACCGAAATTTCGCCGGCCGATAAGAGGCGATAGTTGCTCGGCCGGGCCCGAGAGATCGTCCGGTATCGGCGCGCGAAAGCGTCGTCGCTATTAATGGCCGCTCGGCCCGTGGGCCGGCGTTTTTTCGCAATTAAGGGTGTGACTCGGAGGGTGCGCGTTCGGCTCCTTGATTAATGGAATCGCGTTCCCTGCCGACACGCAAATTTATTTGCGTACGGACGAGCGAGATAAGGGCGAAAGTCCCGACGCGGTGGTGAGTTCGCCTCGTTCCATCAAAGTCGCGGGGGCTCCAAGGGCTCCGCGGGGATAAAAAAGAAAGTGGCGGGGAAGTGAGAAGAGACGTGGGCGTCCTCGGACCCGGACGACACCGACGAATGATCCGATTTTATTGGCCAGATATGGATGAATTTTATTCTAAATAATAAACAACAAACGATAAAATTTAATTAATATTTCTACTTCTAAATTATATAATTAAATTTTTTAAATAAATTCTTCATTTTATAAATATAGTGCAAATTTTATAAATACGTTATAAATTATAGAAATAAATCTTTTACAACATTTAAACGTAATAAATGATTAATCTCCCATTGAAAATTGATCTAAAATTTTGTATATAAAAAAGACTCGAGTTTAATATAAATTCAATACTTATTTTAATAGATAAGTAGACTCCTCAAATAACGTTTTATAAAAAGAATTTTCTGCTCTTTTGTATTATTTAATTTGTTAATTTAATAATCTTAAATTATTAATTTAGTAAACATTTAATGGACATTTCTTGCAAGTAAAGATAATATCCGAATGTCTGATTTTTATATATATGATCTTTTATTATTTTTAAGATTTTTATTATTTGTAGGAAATGAAACGAATGGTAGATAAGAGCAGAGTAAAATTCACGATAAAGGAGGTAACAGGAAGATATTGGTTCGTACACTATGTCAGCGCAATTGTACTGTCACTCATAAATTATAAAGTTTCACTGATCCCCGTGACAGGATCACTCGGGTCAATTCTCTGGCGTTTTCTCCTCACTTTTGTCCTTTCTCCAAGTCATAATGCATCGTTTCATCCCACATAACAGATTTATTTTCCCATGCGGCCGCACCGGATTTCTAAGTCAACGGACTTCAATTTTTCCCGCCGCATCGAACGCAGCTGGCTACCACAAAATTTTGCATCGAACTGCATTTTCGAGACGATTATAAAGTATTTTATTTTTGGCTCAGCATTGGACGAAAGATCTGACCGAACATAACCTATAGAAACATAATCTAAATGAACGTAACCTAAACAGTAGAAAAATGAAACAGTGCAAGGACAAAATAGTACAATGATAAAACACTACAATGACAAAACAGTACAAAAACA